TCGCATAATATTGCCCAACTAGGCTAATGAAAATCATAATGATATTGCCCAGGTGACTAATGAAATTTCCAATGATATTGCCCAAGTAGCTAATGAAAATCACAATGATATTGCCCAGGTGCCTAATGAGATTCCCAAGAGGCTAATGAAATTTCCAATGATGGTTCCCAGGTAGCTAATGGGTATCGCGGTGGTGTTGCCCAAGAGGCTAATGAAATTTCCAATGATAATTCCCAAATAGCTAATGAATATCGCAATAATATTGCCCAGTTAGCTAATGAAAATTGCAATGATATTGCCCACATGCCTAATGAAATTTCCAATGATAATTCCCAAATAGTTAATGAAAATCGCAATGATATCAGTCAAGTAGCTAATGAAATTTCCAATGATATTGCCCAACTAAGCTAATGAAAATTGCAATGATATTGCCCAGGTGCCTAATGAAATTCCCAATGATATTGCCCAAGTGGCTAATGAAATTTCCAATGATAATTTCCAAATAGCTAATGAAAATCACAATGATATCAGTCAAGTAGCTAATGAAATTTCCAATGATATTGCCCAAGTGGCTAATGAAAATCGCAATGATATTGACCAGGTACATAATGAGATGGAGGTCTAAGGCCTTGCCTACAATTAATGAAAAAAAGCGCAGGCTTTATGATAATGAAAAGACATGGCAACTGGAATGATTCCCTATCATAAAGACTGTGGACTTATACACAATGACCTCTAGGCAGTTACCTTATTTATACGATAAAAGTGGTAGCCAGTAGTGCACCCAAGGTGCTTCACCAACGACCTCATCTACCCAATGGCAGTGTCGCACAGCTTCTTGTCTGTTGTTTCATTAGAATGAAGGTTCATAGGATTTAGCGAACAACTGCTGACCACTCACCATGTGTTATGACAGTATGAAATTTGTGGGTTTGTACCAGTTTGTCAGACTTCACTCCAACTAGGAGGTACACAGATGGGAATGATAATTTGGCTTGGCGCAACTGGAGAGCATGACTCATGGTACTTTTTATATTTCAGTTCTACTGTTGAGCAAAAATGTACCCAAAGTGAAAGAAATCATATATGCCTACCATGTGATCTTAATGAGCATAGTGACATATCAAGAAATAGATATAGTGACCAACCATCAGCATAGATACGAACAGGTCAGTTTGTGGGGGGAGAATTTATTTTGTACTTTCGCAACTCTTCGCGGTTGATAGCCTTTTGAACAAAGGCTTGAATGTCTTCCAGAGTGAGTGCTGCGGGATTGAAAGCGGCTTTGAGGGCTGAGGCAACAACAGCAGGCTCTTCTTGACCGTGGAGCTGGCCAGCTGCAACCTTCACTAAATGAGATATGAAGACAGGGTGAGTTGAGCTTTGGAAGGGGGAGGTTTGTAAGTTGGCATTGCCGTTGGGTTTGGAGCTGGCAGAGGCAATGGTGAATGCTGGGGTGATTGAGTTGTTCATGGAGGACATACGCAAGACGTATGGCGATAGTGAGCCCAATAGCCTGGCTCGGGGCCGTCGGGCTGCTGAGCTGGGCCATTTGGGGCAAGCAGTAGAGGAAAGTGTTATTTGCTATAATTTATGCATGGGCTGTTCACAAAGATTCCAGACGGCAAGAAAGAGGGCAGAGGAGGTCGTATGGGATGTCTACTTTTTCCACAGCCTTTTCATTGGGGAAATGACCGAGGTGTGATGCAAGTCTGAAAGTGGGAGGAATGAGGAGGCGTAGTTCAGCAGAAGGTAGCTATAAGACAACAGTCTGTCTGTAGCCAACATATGAAATTGAATGACTCCGAAAAGCAAGGCGAGAGGAGATTCAGTGGTGGGTGCATAGATGATAGGTGTACCTGGAATGAAGAGACATGTGATTGCGGTTGTGTTGATGGGATTGTGAAGGCAGGTTTCGGAGTTATTTGACATAGGGACTGTCATGGATAGATCTGGGTATTATCCATACCCAATCTGTGGATTTTCCCACCCACGGATTGGATAAGCCACAGTACAGATATATCCATGAGTATAGTGGCACAGAGCAGCCCTCCATCTATCTTCATCAGTTCTTTACCGTTTTCCACAAAAAAATATGGGTTAGAAAGCTCTCATTTAGGAGAATTTTGTTATACAGAAATTTACTGTAATATCTTATGTGAACTTCAGTAGAAGCTCATTCTTTGATAATGGTGGAAAATGAAAGGATCAAGCCTCAGTTCATAAAAATATTACTGGCATCTACATGAAAAGCAAACATCATAATTTGGATATGAAGTAAGTCTTCAAATTTGTGATAAGTCAACTATGAAAGTTCTAAATTGTATTCTATAGCTGTTATTAGTGAAATTCATACTTTGTCAAACTCCTCCCATCCCCAAATTCTTTGGAAGCAAGCCTTTTTTAATTTATTTTTACTATTAAACCAATTTCACTCCTTTTTAGTACTCCTTATGCATACTATTAAGGATTGGATGCCAGGTAAGCATCAAATACCACTATGAATACTAGTGTAGTCAAGCTACTTACCCCAGTGTTATACATGGCTTGGAAGGTTCAATAAGTATAAGTACTTTATATCTTTGCTTTTTTTTTGTTTCTGAAATATCACTTCAGGATTTTTTGGTTTTCAGTAAGTCACAGATGTGTATAGTATGTCTCTATCACTGATCTGTCATATACACATTGTCTTTCTAGGCTTTTTCTGGCCTGTTAAATATTTATTCATGACCAGATTGATCTCTGTATAGCATTGAAGTCAAAGGTGTAACATAGTCCACTCTATGAATGCTTAACTAGTGTGGAATGATAAAATCAGAGTCAAATTTACAAGAATGACTGAAGAAATAATTGTATTTTGATAAATTTATATTCAAATTCATCAAAGAGTGTTTTTATCTTATGAAAAAATGAGATTGACGAGTTCCACAGGCCAACAAAGGACAGTCGCATGTTAGTGTGTAGCAGCTGCAGCTTCCACCAAGGCTGCCCAAATATTATTAAATATAGTATACGGATCACAGATATCCGCGGATTTCCATATATATCCACAGGTCTGGATCTGTGGATAATGGGTATCAATGGCCACGGATAATACCCAGTTATTACTGATCCATGACAGTCCCTAATTTGACAGGATGGGAAGAGCTGAGCAGGTGGAATGACGCATCAGGGTTGCACTGATTAGATTCCCACTCATCACCTCAATTGAATCCCAAATTCCAACATGGCATTTCAACCCCTCTGATACCCCTTGATCGTCACCCAAAAGGTTGAGAGCAAGTAGAGTGCAGCCAAACAGCCTCCAAAGTCCAAACTAAGCCAGAGTTCTGCAGTTTGCAGATTTTGGCCCCTGCTCAGAGTCCAGGACAGACAAGAAGTGACACCCAACACATCTAGGCACATGACAATGTGTCATTGATCTCCCATCAAATTGGATATTTTTGACACTCCAAAGTACATGCCGAATCACTGCTGTTAGCGTTAGAGCTTAGTGTTAGGGTTTGGTTAGGGTTAGTGTCTTTTTGCGCAGTAGTGCACTCTTACTTTATTCTCCCCGCGCGGTAGTGCGTTCTTGGTAGGGTTAGGAGGTTAGGGTAAGGTTAGGAGGTTAGGGTTAATGGTTAGGTTTAGGGATATATTTTCCCCACATGGTAGCATGTTCCTGGTTAGATTAGAAGGTTAGGTTAGTGGTTACTAGGGGGATTAAAACTCTGACTGCCCAAATCGGGAGTGTGTCGTTGTTGCTACATGTGTATGTGTCCTATCTTGTATACCCTCCTTGGAGTCCATTGAAGCAGTGCAAAAAACTACTGTCAGGCCGCCTCCAGCTCGCCGAGTCGTCTGTGAAAGAGGCTTCCACTGTTCCTGGAGTTGAACATTGGTGCAAACCCATTGCCAGTGCCCAGTGACGGCCTGGAACTTTGGGCCTGGACCTGGACAGCATACTGTTGCAAGTGGCCAAGTGCTTATGTAAAGAAGCAGAGCAGAGTAGGTATGCCGCATACTATGCGAACGTGCTTTCCAAGTCTGAGCCATCGAGTTGTGCGCGGTCACCGGTCAAGGTTTCAACGTTTTCAACACTCATAACCTCCGAAAGAAACACAGACAAACAAACTCCGCTTCGCGGGACGGAATCCGCGGCCCTTTCCCAGCACTTCCCTTCCAAGTTCTCTTCCCCACAATGATACTATGATGCTAGCTGATGTTGGATATTTTTGTCATATCTCCATTCTTGGTTCTCTTTCAAACAAACCAATGCATCGGACAGTGCACGCCGAAAATTGCTGCAGGATGAGTGAGCCATCCCAGGTGATAATCTCATCATCTTCCGATGATGATCTGAATCCGAATCGGGCGGTGGGCGCATTTCACAAGTGCGTTTCCCGTTATTGTACGACACGGTGAACGTTCAAAGGTTGCCTGTAGAAACAAATTATCGCCCGCAATGAGAACTCACCAAAAACTCATTGAAACTCAAAGCAGTAATTACTGGAGGACGCGGGCGAACGTGCCATCCCCACCGCCATCGATAGATAGATGGCATCATGGATGGATAGGACCCGGACACCCTATTAGCAATGATAACGTTAACATGACGTCCGTGTACCCAGGCCATGTATTCACATTCATATATAAGTGGACCCCCTTCACGACGATAACCTGGAACGATGGCAACCGACCCGGAATTCGAGTTTACAGCTCTCGACGCGATAAGACAGTCTGGTATAGTCATTGCGAGTGATGGAGCTGAGTATCTCAGTACGTTTCTCCCCTTTTGCTTCCTTCCAGAAAAAAAAAACCCAACTCCCCATACCGCAGAAATCAAAGAATTCAACCCAATAGACGCAACATCCAACCCCTCCCTCGTCTCTCACGCACTCTCCAAACCCGAATACGCCCACATCTTCACAGACGCCGTTCACTATGCGTGTTCCACGCTGCCAACGGCGTCGTTGAATGAACAAACCGACTTAGCAATGGATAAATTGGTGAGTTCCCTAGTTTCGTTGCTTGAGTAAAAATTGCTTAATGGAGGACGGAAAAAAAAACGCAACTTGAAAGCTCGTACAAGTGGGCGCGGAGATCCTCAATATCATACCAGGCCGCGTATCCGTGTCTGTAGACCCTCGGCTGGGATACGACTATCATGCCATTCTCACCAAGGTAACCCTTCCTTCCTCCATCCTTCACCCCATTTGACCACCTATCCACAGGCCAAATCCCTAACATCCCTCTTCAACTCCCTCTCCCCGCCCATCCCCCCCTCCCGCTTCCTAATCAAAATCCCAGCAACATACCCAGGCATTCTTGCCGCACACACCCTCGAGTCCCTCCCATCCTCACCGATACACACGAACCTCACCCTGGTCTTTGGACAGGTACAGGCCGTGGCGTGTGCCCAGGCGGGAGTGAGCGTTGTATCGCCTTTTGTTGGAAGGGTTAAGGATTGGTGCGATGCAAGGGCTCGTCTTGGTCTCGATGATGTCGGCCACATTTCTGACGAGAGGAAGAAACCAGCTATAGAAACACACCCAGGCCTCAACCTCCTCCGTGACATCCGAAACGCGTACACTCAACTGGGGACAAAAACCCAAATCATGGCAGCTGGATTTCGAAGTGTCGATGAGCTTGTTGAGGTGGGGAGGCATGGAAGCAAGGGGGGACCGGATTTAGTTACGCTTCCTCCCGAGTTGTTGGATGGGTTGAGGAGGAGGGAGGGGGTTCGAGCCGACTCGACGTTGTCCGACTCTATATCACCGCCATGGGCCCTACCCACATCCACGATACCAGTCTACTTCAACCCCACTTCCCCAGACCCAGACGGCACCCTATTTGAAAATGCGCTAAAGGAAGAAGGCGGGATAGCGCTTGATAAAGTCCCCGAGGGCCTGGAGAAATTTAGTAGGGATGCGAGGAAGCTGGAGGGGAGGGTTAGGTGTGCGTTGGAGGTTTTGAGGGAGGCAGAAGCGCGCGGGAAAAGTCAGATGGGGGTGGGGCAGACGTCAACGTCAGATGCCTGCGAGAATGGACAATTGGATAGAACGACGACGACGTTGGTTGCGAAGAAAGGTCTTGAAGGGATCGAATGGGTTGAACAAACGTCGAGTTTGAATTTGAATTTGTGTGCTGGGGTTCAGGAGGGCGTTATCGCTGTAGGCCAGTGTCTTGGTCAGAGTGTCAAGGTGATATGATTATACAGTACTTACATATACGTATTGGGTTTTTATTCGGCCAATTTGTAGAGTCGTTACGTACCATTCGTATCTTTGGTTCGGTGCGGTGGGATTCGGGAGGGTAATTGCGTCTTAGATGTTCTCGGTGCTAATTCTAAATGATTTTGAGTTCGGGACAAAGACCAAATTGATCTAAAACAAGCTTTATATTCCCTTCAAAGAGTTTATCACCTAACCAAGGCGATCAAACTCACCGTTGAGGATGATGGGATACATACAGCGGAGACCAAAACCATGATAGCCAGCCACCATCTGGCAGAAACTTGTATTCTCAATTGGGATGGGGAGGGATTTGCAAAGGGTCAATTCTTCTTTGTTGATTTCCACATGGGGAGGGACAGGTCTGTGTCCTTAAAATAAATTTGTAGATCAGTAACTTAACCGAGCGGTTTCAAATTCTTGACGTTAGATTAGAGTGCGACGGAGGAGATCCAAAGTTTTTATTCTCAAGCGGACGCGATCACCGCAAAGTCAACAGTGCATTCTTTGCCCTCTTGAGCCTTGGCGGACGCGAACTACGCCACCTGCATAGCGAGCCGAAAAAAAGGCGAAGAGGAGCCCTAGCCTGAACAACACATTATCTTCGCTGAGGCTCTTGCTTTGTGAAAAACGCCAGGACCTTCGAGGAAATGTTGAGTTGCAAATGATATCATCCAGTTCGAATTCTCAATAACCTACCATATACGTTTAATTTGCGCAATTCTAAATTCTTTCAAGTATGCCTGGAAGATGACAGACGCCAGCTCGGCGGTCGCATGCTCTATGATCCCAGCATCAACAATATCGAGACGCGGTGAAAAATTGGCTTTTGTAGATGTGCCGTGAAGCACAGGGGGTGGATCGCAAGCACCTAAAGTTAGCGTCAGCTAGATCAACCCATCTAGCAGTATATAATGAGGAAAGATTTGGAAGAATATTAGTCGGGTAGACTTACCCGCAGATAAAGATCCGGCTGAGTAGTTCATCCGGGAGGGAACGGACGAAGGAGCGTAGACCTTTACATTTCCTCATGAGCCGTCGTTGCTTTTTCTGGAGGACCGGGAGATCCTCATTCATCTCTTTGTATTCCTCAATCTGGTCTCCAACATCGAGAAAATCAGAGAGAAACTTGAGTTCAACAGACGTTATTTTGGAGATTTGCAAGGTTGTTGGAGGGTGGTCAGACTTTGGGGGGGTCTAAGTGCGGTTGGGAGTTTTGTCTGGAGAAAAAAATCTGCATTCAGGTGGTTGTTGAGTACTTTGAGTATGTGACTTGCGACCAGGATACTCAACGCACCAGCCTAGATTCCTCAGAATCGATTGCCACTGAGTAACGATGTACTGAAAAAAAAATCACTGGTGTTGCGCCGCTGCAAGTCGTTTGCCTTGCGTTGTGGAGCAGCCAAGGAAGGTCGGCCGTTCCTGTCCGTGATCGTTGCTGGAGTCAGCGCGTCAATCCGCTCGTGCTGCCAGCGGGGCCACTCCTTCTCTCAAGTATCTCTATGCCTTTACGATCCCACCTCCACCCAATTTCTACGAGTTGTCAGTTGGCTGTCAGTTCAACTTCGGTAAGAACAAGGGTTTCCTGAATATCCGAACCTGGTTTAGCAGTGCCACAGTCTAAATATTTGAACATCCACAGACTTACTTACCAGTGATAGCGAGGATTTCATGGCGGAGTTCAGTTGGATGCGGTGAATCGCTACAGTCAAGAGTGAATCAATAATTGAAGTCTGTTGAATTCCAAAATCGCGATCTCGTGACTCCTTATTTCTTTCAAAAGACCACCATCACAACATCGTCCATCTGCACGTCTGTCCTTACCCGCTCCAAAACTTTCGTTGTCGAAACAAGGTGGGAATCTGCTGAAGATTTTTGGATTTTGAACTTCTTCGTTCTCAATTTACCGAGGAGTTGGACCAAATTTGGACGCCGCGACGAACGTGATCTGGCAACACTGTAGTTGACCGCAATAGGTGTTCTCGCTGGTAAGAGGATTTCGTTTCATCGTCTTTCTTATGCAAACCTGGGACACGTTCTCTACAGAACTTACCCAATACCACGCTTGCAACTGAAGGATTCATGTCATCATCTGAGCAGGATGAAGAGCACGTCGTCGATAGTGAGGAACCTTGGCTAGTGCGTTGAGTATCCTGGTCGCAAGTCGCATACGTAACAACCATCTGAATGCAGACTTCTTCTCCAGACAAATCTCCCAACCGCACTTAGACCCCTCTCAAAGACCAACCACCCTCCAACAACCCTGCAAATCTCCGAGATAGAATCTGTTGAACTCAAGCTTTTCTCTGATTTCCTCGAGGTTGGAGACCAGATTGAGGAATACAAAGAGATGATCAAGGATCTCCTGGTCCTCCAGAAAAAGCAACGACGGCTCATGAGGAAGTGTAAAGGTCTACGCTCCCTCATCCGTTCCCTCCCAGATGAACTCCTCAGCCGGATTTTCATTGCATGCATACCCACACAAGGGGCCACCGTTTCTCTGGAAACCTCGGTGCATGAAGCACCTATGCTTCTGTGTCACGTCTGTAGCAGGTGGCGCAGTGTCGCCTTTTCAACACCACAGCTCTGGAATCGACTTATAGCTACCATCGGCTCATCCCCACCTCCCCATTCCTCCCACTCACGTACACTCATCTCACTAGTGCAGGAGTGGTTCCACCGAGCCAAAACTCTCCCCTTGTCTCTCACATTCGCATCACACCTCGACTACTTTCGGTGTTCCCCGAGTGATCCGATCGTTGCAGAATCAGACGTCCCATATCATCTCCTTTGCGCTCTTTCTTCCCGTCTGACGTGCTTGGACCTCGCGCTGTACTGGACACCCAAGTACCTTGAGTTACTCTCTCATGAATCGGAGGGCCCGCCCTTCTCCCTCCTTGAGTCTCTGATCCTCAGGGGTACAAGCTTCCACCAAAACGAGACCTTGTCCGCGTGGGGTCATGATGGCGGCAAACCGCTCACAACGTTCCAAGATGCGAAGAGACTTTGTCGCGTTGCGATGTATTACCCTATATTTGGGAATAACTTGGGGAATGTTTTGTTTCCATGGGAGCAGCTAACACATTTTATCGTTTCGGAAAGTATTCAGCACGGGGTGTTAGAGGACCTCCTTCGGTGTTGTACATTCCTCCAGCAATGTGTTCTCCACCTCGCCGCAACACCCATTTCCGTTCCGCCTCGCGAGGTAAAGACTGTTCACCACCACCTCATCGATCTAACCATAACCATGGATCAATCCCTCAACCCCAGCATCCTTCGAAATTTTGAGCTCCCGGCACTAATGACTCTTCGACTGGGGCCCCTGATTGTCGCCGAGGAGCATTGGGAGGAGCGTGTGCACTTGTTTCCCCTTTTCTCAACCATCCAAAAGCTTTCCTTCCTGGCTAGCTGGGAAAGGAAGAAAACCCTCAAGTGTGCGCGCATCGTTGAGCTTTTGCGGTATGCGGAGAACTTGGAAGGGTTGGAATTGTGTCCAGGGATATGGTACCCTGATATTTTGGAGGCGCTAACACTTACTACACCGGAACCGACACCAACCACCAGTCTACCGTCGGAATCAGCGCCAATACCAGCGCCAACCCCAACCACACCAGCAACACTACCACCCCTCCTCCCGAAACTCCGCTTCTTCTCCGTAGACCTAGGTTTGAAGCCCCAAGGCGTCGAGGCATTCTGGGAGTCGATAGAAAAAAACAGTGATCGTTACCCAAGGCGGTTTTCGCCTCAGGCCTTGGGGAAGATGGTTCAGTCACGGTGGGCGCCTTTTGGAGGAGGGAGCCGCGCTGAGAAGGACGGTGCGAGCGTTCGCCTCGAGAAATTGCTCGTATACCTCACGAAAGAGGATAAACATATCAACAATATTATTCAGGAACTCCTCGCAGAGTGCGTGGATGATGGATTGATCTTCGAGGAGCGCCGCGTTGAAAACTGGAAGCATTGGAGTACTCGATTGAACTCGGATGACTCGGTGGTTCATTGGACAGGGGGTTTATCGATGTTGGTTCGTAAGAATGGATACCCCTAGTTCCTCATGCCTAGCGGGGGTTGGACGTGGGCATGTAAGACTTGTACATCGAACACCGAGACTGATAAACTCCTAGCAGACTATGAGAGGCTACCCTCGCACTCTTGTACGCCTGTCAAATTTCCCTCAATTGCAATGTGCGTCCTTGAAGTCGATCGCTGTGTTGATCCTGAAGTATTCGAAAAAAAAGCTGTGCCCTTATTTTTCAAGACCCGAGCAAAGTAGTGGAAGACGAGTACATGTCATTCAAACACTGTGATTCAAACATCCTACAATCTCAATACAAAAATGTCTTTGAGAAAACATCAGACTAAGTATTGCGATTAACGCTCCCCCCCGTAAAGTTATTGTCGGACGACCTACCAACTTGCAATTCAACGCCTGCGATGATGATGACAACGATGCTCGCAGTCTGATCCAGTGTCCTGGTGATACTCTTGAACGGAACCACACGGATGGTGGTGGCCGTACGAATCCCTGTGGGCGTGGTGGCAATGGTGGACTACGCGGCGGTGGTGACCACACCTCCTCCTTCTGTGAATAACCTGACACATTCCTGCAGCTCACAAGGTTAGAGGAAGTTTCATCGAAGAGTGCCCGGAGGAGGGACTTACTGATTGGTTGGATGGTATGTCTGAGGATTTGTTGAAGCTAGCATTTGTTCGTTACTCGTCTTTTAAACCAGACAAAGGCAGGTCGGTCCGGAAAGCCTATCCGGAACATGGAGGGGTGTGATAGTTGAAAGACGGTTTAGAGCATAGGCGCCTAACGGCTCCACGATGAATCCGCGCTGTGGCCGTCATGCCAGTGGCCTCATGACAAGCTTCCTAGCGCTGGCCTTCACGATGCCACCCTTTTTCAAACAGTTACGGTACTGAAATCGAAGGATTTTCTCATGGACGCCGGGCGCGATACAATTGAATAGCGATGAAATTCAAATTCGACTATAGCCGTTTTCTCTCGCTGAAAATCTACAAGCAGTGAGATATGTTAATCACGAAGGCAAGTACTAGTAATGTTGGAAAATGGTACCTTAATGCCCGAATGCCCCTCTCTACATATGGGTGCCACGACAACTTGTCTGTTCAGTAAAATAACGCTGAATCAAGTTCTTCACACTAGGAACCTCGCCGAGTGATCAGTTGACAAGAAAAAGCGCCTTGTACCTTGCACGCCAACGCGGCCATTAAAAAGCGCAGTTTGCGCTACAATGACCCTTGATCATGAACTTCTTGACTTTGGGCGTCCTGGAGATTGTATGATACCGGAGCATCACTAATAATAAAGCGTACCCAAATAGACGTTGACTCTTTGCCGCTGAAGTTGTGTAAATGAGGAAACAATGTTCTGACTCACTTGTTCCAACGTTTTTAGGGCTTGAAGATATTTGAAACTTTGGAATAGTCCTGTGTTCTTAAGGCCCAAGCCCGAGTAGTTCTGGTGTCGGTGCAATTGGGAGAGGAAGTAGTTCAAGTTGGTCCGCGTGATACGGAGTTTGATCCAATTTGGCTTTGATTTGGCTCCACTAAAAGTCTTCCACCTGATTCAACCCTTTCCTGTGTACTTCGCCTTTTTCACGTCTCGGCATTCATCCAATTGGTTGTGGCATGGCCCATGGGCGGTGTCTGAGTGAAACACGAGTTCTCCAATGAGGGATTGAAAAAAGTAGGTGATGTTTTCTTTGTCTTTTGCAACGTTCTTTGGCACTCAGGCTTGGCACTACCTACGCGTTTTCGTTCCGCCCGCTTTGCTCGTTATGTTGACCGACATTTCTCTCTGTGAGTTTTTTCTAGGTTTACTTTACCGAATCTTAACCGTGACGCACCTCAAGACCTTGCCGACAGACCTCTACCTCCACCCCTACCCGCCGCTCAATTCACCACTCTTAGTACCGATTATACCGACGACTTTGAAAAAACGCTCATCGTCCACGCTGAGGATCCGGAAGTTTACGATTCGGGGAATAGACTGAGTGTGTTCTACAAACGCAACAAAGTTGAGGCCAACACCGTCGAAAACCAGATCTTGGACTGCGACGATTGGCAAGACAAGGAGGACAAAGTTCTCAAGATTTTCCATGACGTTTTTCCGACAATATCCGTTTTTTGCCCCACGGTGACGCGCATCACGGTCGTGACGGTGGATGGGAAGCTCACCACGAGCCTTAGCGAAGACACCGACGAAATTACTATTTACCTCCCTATTCCTCCCCATCTTTCGCATCTACCCACTGTGCCGATCGCTGAGCTCCGGAAAGTGGAGGCTTTGCACGCCGATGTCGATCTGGTGAAGTGGCAGAGCGAGCCCTTCGCTTTCAAAAAGTCTGTCGAAGACCCCGAAGGAACGATCCAAGAGCTCACCATCTTGGATAAGTTGTCGAATTCGCCTAATATCATAGACGTTACCGGGATAGTCGTCAATCAAGACAAAACCATTCGCGGTTTTTTGATGCCGTATATTCCAGCTGGGAATCTGAGAGTTTTGTTTGAAAGAATACGTAAAGATGAAGGTGTGGCGCACGACCAACTTATATTGGACTGGTCAAACAAGCTTAGGTGGGCACTTCAAATCGTACAAGGAGTTGTCGATTTGCATTCCATCGCAGCATATAACGGGGATTTGAAGCCGGAGAATATTGTCGTTGCGCAAGATGGTCAAGCCATCCTCATTGACTTCCTACCCATGGGCATCTCCGATATGTTTGCGGCGCCAGAGCTCTTAGAAAAATGGGATGACCATGAAATTGAGTTCAAATCAATGTTGACGCCCCAGGCGGATATATATTCGCTTGGCCTCACCCTTTACGCGCTGACGCAGGAGAACGGAATGGTTGCACGCCCACCGGTCTGGAGAGAAGGGAGCGCGCCTGCTTGGTATCAAGGTGTCGTGCAAAGGTGTCTTGAGGTGGACCCGTCTGCCAGGCCATCTGCTACTGAGGTGTTATCTCTTCTGCAGAAAGGGTCGTCGTAGTGATTTTGGTTTCCCCCCGTAATTCCACAGGATTAAATATCGCGCCCAATTTTTACCTCTGGAATGCAAATCGCTTAAATCCCTAATCATCATACGAGCCCTGTGTTTTTGTAGGTGTGGGTGTCTTCAAATTTGCACTCCTGTTGGTTTAAAGGCTATAAAGGTACGCTGTGCGAAACCACTCCAAGTAGCAACTGATTGCCACTCAATCGCGTTTCAAAAGGCCATTGTTTGTCAGTGTTTATGCTACGCGACCCATCACGTGCCCCATTGCCTCAAGTTTCTCAAGCCACCTCTTCTCCTCTGCCCTGATATCCTTGTGCTCGACCGTTAGATTCTAAGGACAGCCAAGCTGCAAGCTGGAATTGTGTTTCAAGCGGCGCAGGTTTGCATTTTGTGGGTCAAAGTTTAACAGCATCGCTGACATAGGCTCAATTACTCCAGGTGCTCAGTGTATCGCTTACACGTCGGAAAGTACACGATTCGCGGGACATTTCCACCTCAGATTATAGAAAACGGCGAATGTGCATAGAACTTGGCTAGAAGCACCCATTGACGCTCCAAAATCGCCCTTACATCCAGGCCAACCTCTTACAAAATATTGCCTGATACATGTCGTCCCAATTTCCCGCAACCTCGATCGGCCGCACATCAGGCGCACGACTGCAACCAACCGTGTCTCACGAAGCCCACCCGCTTCTCTCCTCCCCCTCTTCTCCCCAAGGATCAACAACAGAGCACGGAAACGGAAACGGCGGTAGCCCGCGTTATGTCCCATACACACCACGTCAACGTGCAGCACTAGCTACTACGACTGGGACGATTGTGCATCCCCCCTCTCCTACACACCATCATGGCGTTGCGACGAGTAAGTTGCAGCTGATGAATTTGAAGGCGGCTGCTCAGAACATTGGGTTGGATACGAGTACGATTGGATGGGCGTTGTTGGAAACGCTGGTTTCGGAGGGAGAGGGAGAAGAGTGGACGGAGATCTGGTCGGGGATTACTTCTGGAAAGGTTGGCTTGTTTACCTCCTTGCCACCGAGTATTCATGGTTTTGGTATCTTGTTGTAGGCGACACTCCTGCTGCCACTAGATCAGACGTCTGCTCATGACAAGATCACTCCACATTTCGTCAAAGATCATATTGTCCTAGCGGACGGTCCATTCAAGAGAGGTTCGCAGTTGGTTACTCTATCAGGTCTACGCGGCAGCGTCGAAGAGTAGGTCTTATTTCACGGGCATGTAAATGTCCAACTCACTTTTATTCAGTGATACCGTAACGTTCCGGTCGACAATCTACCCCACATCCAAACTATTCCAGGACATTATAAGCCCAATCACCCGGACCCATGCCCTCTCCTCGCTCCCACCTCTTCCTACTCTACCAAACACCACAAACACGCCTTATCCCAAATACATCTTACCCTCTCATTCACCCTCTCTGCCCCTCCCACCACGCAGCCATGCACAACCTAAACCTCCACTCCCACCTAGACCCGGAACAAGGATCGCTTCAACTAGCAGTACAACCACAACCTCACGCATCACCAACCCATTTGCTTCTCTCTTCGGAAGCAACAACGTCAAAGTTCCTTCTGTCGCAGCCGCTGCTTCCGCACCACTCCCAGCATCACCCCCCGTATCCATTCGCAGTCTAGATTCTGCACAGGACGCAACGCCGGTTATACACGAAGTACCCGCGTTCACCATCGACCGGAAGATCATCCATAAGGACATATCCAAAGAGATGAATAAGGCACTCAAGGCAGAAATGAAAGCCGCGTTGTTGGCCGCGCCCGTCCCGGGATGGGTAGCCGATCGCACTATCGAATTTACAGTTGATTGGTTTCCATTCATCACAGCGGCTACGACGGCTCCGCACCTTGACAAGAGAAATAGCAAGGATAAAAGCAAAGTATACCAGGTGAACCCTGTTGAAGAGGTCTCAGAGGACGCTGCGGAGCGGTTGCAGGATTTTTACTTTGAGTTGGAGCAGGATATGAGGGCGCACACTCCGTTCCGATCTAAGCACTCAATTCCTGCCAGCAAGGAGGTTGTTGAGAAAGAACCGGAGTCGGATGCGGAGGATGAGAAGGAGAGGGAGAAGAGGGAGCACGAGAAGCTGGATAGTGAGGCGAAGATCAGGGATATCATGGAAGCTGTTGAACGGACCGTGTGTTCGCTATTTTATGACAGGTCCTTTTGATCTTTCCTCTTCCTTTTGAGCAAGGACTGACGGTGAACGTCGTGCAGGTTATTCATGCAACCAAGCACGGACGATGCGTCGCACGATGAGACATTGTCGAGTCGAGTGGCCGCTCTGAACATGCTTGACCTGGGATTGGAACACCTGGATATCGTGGTCGGAGAGGCAGGGCCAGAGTTGGATTTAGTTGTCAAAGCCTGTGGCGAGAGTGAGCCTCACCTTGTCGTGCTCCCAGAGCCTCCGTTGACCTCTCTTTAGTGCTCACGCAACTAGAAGAATGCCGCAGCCCAGGCGACAAGTCTGCAATCCTCGTTGCAGCACACAAAGTTGTCGTAGGTAATTCTTCCTACAATTCTTCCCGTCGATGATATACTGATTAACATTCTTAATGCCAGATGGTCTTTCGAGACTTCCACCGATTCGATTGAAATCAGAAGAAGATCCACAAACTGCGAAACCCACAAAATCAGTTCCACGAGAGGAAAACCTAAAGATACCAGCTGCCGAAGCAACGTCTTCCAAGGAATCCTCCGCGGATGGCTCTGCTATACCCTCATCCTCCAAATCGGAATCACCCTCTCCACTTCCTCTTGTTGTAGATGTCGCATTTTCTGCAGAAGACGAACATATTATGGAGAAAACATCAGATGACGCTCCCAAGTCTGGAGGCAAAGGTTCAAACGCGCCTGCCAAGCATAGACCATCACCTCTCCCCCTCACAGGGACAGCACCCCCACCACCTCCACGCCCACTTCTCAAGTTGGAATCGCCGGTAAAGGGACCCACGCCGGTGTCTGGCGATGTTTTGCTACCTATGATCATCTTTTCCGTGGTCAAGGCCAATCCACCACACCTTGTGTCCAACCTCCTTTTTACGCAGAGATTCAGGAATCAAAGTATCGGGGGAGAAGAAAGCTATTGCTTGATCAACTTGATGGCTGTTGCCGACTTCTTGGAGAACGTCGATTTGGCAGCTCTTGGGCTGGTGGATGGTGATAAGGTTATGAGGTTTGTGATGACCTTTCTCTTCATCTTCTTTATTCTGACTAAGAATGTCAACTTTCTAGTGCGGCGGAGCTGACGCCAATTCCCCTTACTCGAAGCCCAGTGACAACAGAGACGCCATTATCCTTAGCCGAAGGTCTACAGGGCAGCCTCCGCGGTCGAATGGAGCAGCAGGTAGACGCCATTGCCGATTCAGCAAACAAGGTCATAACGGGCGTCGTCGACTCCTCATTCGGTATCCTCCGCTCTTTCCTACCACAAAACAACGTCACTCCAAACCCAGCAGCTGCTCAGCGGCCTACTACCCCTAGCCAACAGCAGCCAGGTAGTGGGGGAAGGCCAGGGCTCGGTTTGCTGAGACGGGAAAGCGGGTTTTCTATCGCCAGTATCGCTGCGTCGTTGCCTATACCGTCAAGGAAACCTACTACGGGCGCAGAGGAGGCAGGGCAGCAGTTGGTATCTGTTTCGCAGCCGGGATCAGTCAGGTCTCGAAGGTCTTCTTTTAGGGTTCAGGTTGATGGGGAGGAGAGCCAGGAGGAAGAGGATGTGGATCCGTATGGGCATGACAGTGAGGGGACGGGGGACGAGGAAGAGGGTGAAGAAGCGGATGAGGATGGGGATGACGGGCTTAGTGTTGGTGGTGGTGATGCTAGGAGTATACGAAGCTTTGAGGCGATGATGAGTGCAAGTAAGAGCAAGAAGATGAAGGTCAAGCCAAAAGGGAAGAACAGTCCAGGTCGAGGGACGAGGAAAAGCTTGACAGACCGGTTAGCGAATATGTCGGCTCTCGCGAGTTTGAAGGTTTGTAATCCTCCTACCCCCACATTTCGTTTCTCATTATCTTGTTATGCATACAGGGTTCCCCTCCTACATCTCGGAGATCATCGCTGCTACAACCCCCGATATCTCAACTCCCACACACTACCCCGCCCCCGTCTCGACCGGCCTCTCCCTTTTCTTCGCGCTTGGCACCTCCGATACAACGGTTTGTAACATGTACCGCCGACGAACTTCGCCTGTCGGAAGTAGGCGAACTACTTCGAGATTATAGAAGGATAGTAGAGGGTATTCGTGCTATGGGTGGGTTTGACGAATAGAACCCGTCCATTTTCTTCATTTATCTTCATACATGGATCGTACATGCCTACTTCTTGCCTACGTCTTGAGAAAATAACTATGTCATCGATGTAGACTAACACAATATGAAAGGCTATTCTATGCCTTCATATTGGCCCCGTTTCCACATTTCTTTGGCTATTATACAAAGGACCTATGATTATTGAGTGAACAAATGCAGAATAACGCGTCGCTGACCTCGGTAGTCGCGCTTCTGTCCCGTTGAATGCTTTCTTTATTGACGCACGCAGTGATCATCAGCGCGTCCTTTGGCGTAGTCACCATTCTCCCTTCATGGATTCCTACTTCATCTGTTGAGGGATTCTTCCAAAAATTTGCAGGCACAAAAGGATGGAGTATAGGAAGGTTTTGTTGGGAACAGATTTTTATTAAGGGGTCTGCAAGGCTTGAGTTAGGGAACTAACTAGCAGAATATTTGTATCTTTGAGCTAAATTTTACATGAACACCTTCATGCATCCTCCACCTACAAATACACACACTTGTAATGGTAATTTACTGTTCTGTCGAAGTAAATGCGAGGGGTAAAGACAAACGACCATTTTTTGATCAAGCTCTGGGTGATGGGGAAATACGGCGAAGTTGAAAATTTGGCAGTGGGTTGCCGCTCCCCAGTGACTGTAAATAACTCACAGGACCAATGAAATGACAATTGCCACATTCCAATGTATTCTACGCGTTATAGAATCTCTTAGTGCGCGTTCCCAGATGGCGGTGTTGCTGTATGTCATGCTTGAGCACAAACCCATCCCCAAACACTAAAGTACAAAACCTCGAGAGCTGAGAACGGATGTGTAATATATCACTTCTTAACCATACAGCAGAGTCAAACGGAATCCTGAGCCACACCACCCCTCCACTGCTCCAAACGCTGACTGTTCTCGCCAACTTTCTTGAGATGGCGTTCTTTTGCAGCCTTTGAGTTTCCCCAGAAAAAAAGCATAACGTCATCCTCATCCCAGATCGCCTGACCCTCTGATTCCACCAATCCCCCTGTCCCTGCCCCAGCCTTAGAAGCCTTAGAACTCCCAGCGCCAGTTTCACCAGTGCTCTGGGCTTTAGAGCGCTTTAGAATGGTAGCACGCCTATCATGCATAGTTTTCGTTGGTCCTGCTGGCGCTGGAACAGGCACCTCTGGACGAGGAGGTGTGGTGAATGCCGTAAGGACCGCCGTACCACGCCCCCAGCGTCTGACGGCTGCAGCACCATACATATAGTGTAGTAGAAGGTCTGACGGTTTCGCCTTCTTGGTACGTTTCTTGAAAGCGGCATCACTATTGTTTGGAGTCAAGTTCGTGTCGCCCGGGGGCGGGTCTATCAGCCATTGCAGGGTATAGCGGCTACGAGACGGATAACTGACATCTGTCTGAAGATCAGTTCGGTCGCAGCGTGGGGGAATGTCTTCGGTTTCAAGAATATGGTTGGGGGTCTGGTGATTGGTGGCGGCAAAGGGATCAGAAAAAGTACAAACGGGCGGACAAAACTGACAAACCTTGAGGATCGCCACGAGGCGTTGATCGAATATGCGATTTATCATCATGCTTGCGAAAACGCCATTCCGGATGTCATTAATATCCTCAAGTGATTCCACCTCCTCGTCGTAGGATGGACGATTCTCCACAATCAGCCGAAACCACTGAATTAGCCGAAGGGAGACGATCAGACCCTTCCCTGCAAAAAGTCGTGGGACGTACTTCGGAACCCCGTTTATAGGGGATGATGTGCATACCATCCCCGGCGTACTCAGTTCCTGTCCACACACATCGAATATCACGCTTCAGCAGAGCGGTGCGGAACGAATCACAGGTCGCGGAAGATTCGGAGGTAGTTTCAGTTCTGGCCTTGATGAGATCGAGGTCGACAACTTGGGTGGGATCTTCGGTGGACAGATAGACGACATGCTGTAAGTGTCCTGCGTGCACTCATGACAGCGAAAGAAACGTACCCAAGGGCTCATCCAGAACATAGTAGTATGTCTCACCACCATCAGCGTCTTCATCGGTATCAATCCCATCATGAATATCAGGTCGAAGAGACAGTACGCCCTCGCCGCCCAGAATGCACCAGCCAAGGTAGAGGAGATACTTGAGTGGCTTCAAACATAAAGCACGGATTTTGGTTAAAGGGATTCGTAAATAAAATGAAGACTCAGATTGTTCAATAAGAACTAAAGCAACATGGTCGTCGGGAACGATGTTGGAGTCGGACGACATCGACTGGTAGGCGGTTGGATTTGTCAGCTGCATCACGGGGAATTCCGATTTGAACAGTTTACAGAATATTTTCTTTCCAGCTTTTTGCTCATCCTGACGCTTTTGTCGAGGTGCGTTTTCTCTTGTGTTCATTCGCATAAAGTCCCTTACAGTGACATAACTGTACTACGTTTTTGAGGATCCTCCGTAATGCCAGGGGAAGGAGATTGAAGAATAGTCAGCTTACATCAAATTGTTGTTGGGATTCGTTTCTGAATTACCGCTTAGGACGGATCGGGCCGGTTATGCTCCGGCGTCGTCATCTACTTCCAGGATGATTGAGTGGATCAGACTGCTATCACACTGCCCTAGACTGCGGTCAACATCTATATAACTCGTCCAGTTTCTTCTTACCAACCCCATCCAAGACTTTCACACCACAACAGTAACGATTCAATAGTGCTATCATGTCGGGTTTGTCTTATTGCTCTGTTGCACATCAAGTCATAGCGATCTGATGATGCCCGCGCTCTCTAGCTGGAAAATTCATCGTTGTCTTCAAACCAGAAGTCACCCAAGATGAGATCACCAAATACGTTAATCAAGTTAACACTAATGGTGCGTCGGCTTTAATCATTTTAAGATCAAATACGATCTTCCTCACACTTGTAGGCGGCGAGGTCACCCACCGCTACGATTCAGTCCTCAATGTAAGAAGCGTCCAACAACCTCCAAGAAGGATGCTGATAGCATTTCGCAGGGATTTGCCGCCACATTGACTCCGGAGTCTCTCCAATCTTTCCAATCTCTCACAGGCGGTGTGATCGCCTACATCGGTATGTGCATCCAGGCTTATAACAGGTCGGTATGTGCGACTTATTTCAATTTAGAACCCGATGGCATCGTCACTACCCAGTAAATAGCGATAGCCAACTCAGTCAATGTACTTGTCACTATCTGATTAGATCAACAAGGTCTTGTATCCGTATTTCACTATGCGCCTTTGGAAAACTTCGTGTATTGGCAAGAATTATAATGAAATGTATACAGCAAAAATATGTTGAACTGGGTACTCTTTCGATTTGCCTCCGGAAAGGCGCCTCACTTTCACCTCGGCTGCAGGGAGTATTCACCGATTATGACGACTCGGATGGCGCACGGCGCTTGGGACTTCTTGCGCCCTTCTTCACCTTTCATAAAGCGCAGTGAATTCACACTTTTCCAGAACGGGTCTGGCATTACAGAGAAAACCAAATAGCAGCAGCAAAGTAGCAGAGTTGAAAAGGGAAAAAAAGACCCAATCAAAACGTTTCATGTCTATTCGCGGTGAGCACTTTTATAAAACGAAAAGTTGGTTGGATATCGCATACCTTGTGAATGTCGCCGTGAAGACCGGCTTCAAAGTCTCCAAAGAGGCGTTTGGAGGCTACTAGCCCAAGGTATTCGCGAATTGAGCTGCACGTCTGAACAAAAACTTGAGCGCCAGGCATACACCAAAAGTAGACTGAGCATGTATGTCGGGCAAAACGCCGATCATCCTCGTTAGAGACCGATTGTCAGGCAAAACGCCGATCATCTTCGTTGAAGACCAATAGACAAAAATACAAGACGTTGGGCGGTGGCAAAATGCTGATCACCCCTTCAATGGGGACTGATGGCTATGACAAGATAATACAAGGCGTTGCACTTCGTTCCCCGATCACGTTGTGTAGCAAAGGGGGAGTGGGAAGTACCCTTTCTGTGAGAAGTAAGTCGGATAAAATCCAACATTCAGATCACTGGTTCACCATACCTTCGCGGTCACAACTTTGAGAATGAGCGACTCGGAAGCCTTAGACTCCCTCGAGCTCTACGATGACGACCCCGTCCTTGAAGCCGTCCGCTCCTCATTCCGCTCGATAAATACCGTAGGGACCGCCAACCATCCATTCTTTGATCTCTTTCGAGAGGATCCCAAGATTTCGATCACTTGCGGCCTGAGTGACTTCCTTTTCGAAGTATCGCGCTCCAGTTCCCGCGACATCGACATCGTTCTCCTCGTTGCGCGCCACGCAAGAGCCGATGAATCACTACCGACTGTGTACTGGACCCGAGAGCGACCAGCTGCAACGTTCGGTGAGGTATTCAACGTTGACTTCAGGGACAAATTACGGGGGTATCTTGGAGAGGGGCCATCGGACTTGATGTCATGGGCAGCTCAGAAATCTTTATAGCCTTGAACGATGGTCTGATGTTGTCGAACATCTTCGAATGGGAGGGTAAGATAGGTAGCACAGGAGTGGCTGGTGCATGCCTCCAGCTTCTGGGTGGTTACAGTGACCTGCCCTCGTATCTTCGTGACCCGCCAGGAAACGCTCTCGAAGCCTTGAAAAGATTGAGCGTCTCTGAGGAGGATGAGCCTCAGCAAATGGTATATCTCGCATCAATGTGCTGCACTTGTTTCTTGATGTAACACGCGCCTTTTACAGTTCACAATAGACACCCTTGAAGATATGCAGAAACGCGACTTGAGTAGTGAGGAAATTTTGGCGGAAACTACCCTTGCAGGGTAGAAGTTTTGGAGTGGGCCCGGGGAATGAAATGGGGAAGTGCCAGGCGTAGTATGGTCCCAGGTCTCGATACCAGCAGTTGAGAAGGATCTGATAGGACTCTTGAGAAGACAGTCGCGATTTGTATAGAACGTTGTTCGCGAGAAATATTTCACCTTAACTTGCTGGCTCTGGTGACCGGTGACCGCCATCTCCCGTCAACCCGTTTGACCTTATCCCCCACCATGTCCCCCTCATGCGCTCAGACACTGCGGGTGACGGAGCCACTTCAAGTCATGAAGAAAACCCGAGTATCTCATTTCGAACCTCAGATGGCAAAATTTTCCAACGTCTGGTAATCCACCAAGTACGGACCTGGCCGCGCGTCGCGAGATAACTGCACTGACCACTCATTGAGTGGATATGGACGTGAGTTGAGACGCACAGTTGGCGCCACGAGCCACTGGAGTCTTCGGGATTGTGCAGGTTGATGAGTAGACAGTGGAGGCAATCGGTAAGTTGCTTCGAACCGTTCTGGAAAGCGTTTTCATCAACGTCGTCTCGCAATTTAGGACTACATGTCTATCCCACCAGAGTAACCACCAAGGAGACTTTCGATGCGCAGCCGGCATCACAAAACACTAGTTACCAGCACTTGAAGTATGGGTTTACAATTGTCAGGAACGTTCGCCCGAACAAGATCAACCGAAAACTTTCGCTGTAAGACCTACTTCTTCGCCACTCTACTCTACTCTCACCAATAATCTAATATTTTGAGTAACAGGCCACTTCTCTGACAGAAAACAACAGACCCTCCAGCGACCAGAATCGAATCTTGCCGAAGGCATAATCTGAAACGAAACGAAACGATGGGCAGGCAGCCGAGCACTCACGCAAAAAATCGATGTCCATCTTTCACCCCATTAGCAGCCGTCCAACTCTCACAACTGCCTCCTCCACAATTTGCGTACTTCTTACGCAAAAAATATGCGAGCAGAAGGCGAAGGACCACCCACTCCATTTCCCCCCTCATTCAATCCTCCACCTTCACCTCTTCCTCCATCACCATCCCAGCGATGGCTCCCCTTCCTCAACCCAAACCCGACCCTATCCCGCCTCTTGTACACCCCGGAACTTTCATGCAGGCCCAACTGCGCTCTAGCATTTCCGCGGTTTTGCGTTTCTCAAGCTGACGTCCAGCTCTCTTTGTTGGCCGTCTTTTCATGGGATTGTAACATCGATGAGTCTCGGACTCGGATCTCTTTTGGTTGGAACCGACGTCAATGGGGTAGAGTGTCATCATCGCGTAGCCAATGATGTTACTCCCTCTCAGATCTCTTCGGAGTGGTGTGGATTTGCAGTGCGAACGGACTGGAGAATCTCTGATCCAAACGCTGCGAGGCGACATCCGACTTCTCACCCTCCTCAAGTCCTAGCTCGCTGCCGGAATCGAATTGGAGCACCTCGACGATCGCACAAACTCGTGAGGAACGTGACGAAGGCGAGGTTTGAGGTTTTTCGTTGGGGGGTGGGACAGGAGAAGTAAGAAGACTATTTTGGCGGTCTCGAAGACATCTACGTTGGTTGCCGAAGCCTCAAACGCAATCTCACCTGTCAAGTCTCTCCTACTACAATCCTCGCAATCCCATCTCTCCTTCTTCTCCTCCCAACACGCTGCCTCATCCGCGATCCCCTACCTCGCAGCGCAGTCTGACTGTAGTTCTTGGATCTTGTTCGCCATATTGTCAACTCGTTTCCATCGTCTCCGGGTACCTCCGCCCTGGTCATAGTGGCGTCTTGTGAGTCGTTTTTCTTCGAGATTCTGGGAAACACGCTCACAAGAAAGTCGACCTGTAGCTCTACACACCCATTGATACAAGATTCGACATCCGTATGCTCTCTCGACACCAATGTCTTTCATCACCTAATCGACGGTGTGGCAGCTCGCTTCGTACACCTTGTAAAAGCCTTTAACAAATCCGAGCGACCCTTTCACCCGATTACATTGCAATGCCGAGCTGCCTTCTGCGTGTAGTTCAAGATGCCGATTGGGCTAAGGTTTCGACGATGAGCTGTGCTGGGAGGCTGAACGCCCTCGAGTTCTTCGAGGTTCATGGGCGAAAATGATGATGCTTGATGGAGCGTTCACGGCTATATAAAAGGGTCATTGCTATCCAGCGTCCATTGACGTGGGTTCAGGGTTTTGGCTTAATTGTTGACCTTTTCGAGTAAGTCTATCTTCATCCATATCAGTTATAGTGTAGGGATTGACTTTCTCAAAGTTCCAGCACCTTTTCTAGCTGTCTTAAATCGATGTACTATCTCTATTTGGGATATGGTTCGGCAACAGCGTGAAGTTGAGACTCCGAGTCGCAGTTGTGGAACGTCACTCGAATACGGTACATACGTATATCTTCAAATTGTATGCTCCTACGTGTGCATATGCAAACGTCAAGGTTGCTTGAGAGCGAATAAGAAAGGGTATATTCAGGATGGAAACAAGGCTAGGTAGTCTGAGGAGAGAGAGCCTCTATTCTCTCTCGCTCATCCAAATAAAGCAACGAGGAATATGGGCAACCGCTAGCGATGAGGCGCAGCAGAACATTCACAGTCAAACGTTCTTGAGCACCCGAAGGGGCCTAAATAGAGGCGAACCCACCCAAGGCCTCTTGACTGCATCACTAGCGGAAGGCCTGGGGGCACTTTGCAAGGTATTTGCGATATAGATAATCAGCAACACTCTTCGCTGCGCCTTCAGATGCATATTGCTTACTGATACCCCAGCCGGTGCCAATATGTACACCGTCCACTGTGCAAAAGAGGTAAATCGAAAACGATCAGGAAGGATGTATGTTGAATGCAACATACGATGGACAGTACACTGCCAGGGGTTCTGGCGATGTCGAGATTGACCGCACTTGTATTCAAGTGGTGGAATGTCGCGAAAGAGGCGCTGAAGAATGGTGTTCAAGTGATTCTTATCTGCGACAAAGTCAGAAAAGTGCTAGCACTAATGCCTGGAGCTGTACTTACGCTCCGTGACCATCTCCCTGCGCGGAACACCAATCCCATACTCCCCTTGCCCAATCGCCAACTCATACGCAGCACCATCCCCTCCATTTCCTGCACGCGCCGTGGTTGCCATGATTTCTTGAATGCGTTGGTCTGTAGAGTATTTCTGAGGCTCATGGCGGCTCTTGAAGCTTATAAGCACGACCTGTGGCGCGAAAAACAAGCCCTGAATCCAGAGCAATACAGCAATCAACACATCATCAGCATCCTAGAAGAAAAAAGTTGAGCGCGGGACTGGGGGAGGAACAACAGTAGCGACAACAATGCACTGAAACACGATAGGATGAATCACCAGAAGCTGTAGAGTGACGGAAAATTCAGCTCTGTAACAACACCTTTCACAGTATATTCGCCATCAAGGCGGTGAAACTTGGAGACGAATTGTACTGATGCGCATAGAATTTTTTGCAATACCCTGTGAGCTGACAGGCGACACAACACCTATAATTTAGGAGGTCAAAAATGGGAGTGACAACGAGGACTGATGCGCATGCCATCATTCCTGGATCTTGTCCGCGTCTTGTGAAGCGCACGGTCCAAGGTTCAGGTGGACCTACAAAGAGTGTAAGTAGATTAAGATCGCACCATATTCGAAAAGAAATAGGTTACCTTCAAAGGCAAAGCAGCACGTAATCGCCGATTCTCCTCCAGGCTCCGGGCAACACGTCAATTGGAGGTGGCAGACGCGAGTGAGCCACACAGGAAGACGGATGGGCTGACGTTCCCAGGTAAGAAAGGATCTGTCAGGTAGCAGCCCTTTGTTGTCGAAGGCGGCGTTCAGTGTACCATGCATTGGTGTGCATATTGACTGCGGTGACTCACACCGACTCACAGCACAGGTGTTCAAGCGATAAAAGCCGATATCACCCATTCTCTGTTGCCGGCTCTGCGGGGCGAACAGTGCAAGGATGAGGGGGAACAAGGAGGTTTCTGTATCGACATCGGCGTTGTGCGCTTGGAGGATTGGTGTGTTGTTCGGTTGTGGTAGTATTTTTGATTATTGAATCAATTCCTGACATTTTACCTGGACTACCCCTCAGTTCTTCCATCTATCCGAAAACTCATCAGCTCCACGCAAGAACAAAAGAGCGAAAACACGCACATTATAACAGTCTGTTCCCGCCCCCTACTAACAACCTCATCAGGCACAAAGTCCATACAACACACCTCGTCCGTATGTCCCGGAAGATCAGTCTTGATCTTCTACGTCTTGAAATTCCATATCTACCTCATCAAAAACTTCAGTCAATTCCACGAAAGCATCAAAGGGGTCCACCAAACCTTGAGCGTACTATCCTTGTACCAGCACTAATCATCAATCGCCACGCAAGCCGATGTACAGCGCTTTCATGGCCTCGGAGCGTAGTGACGAACTTGTCTGTCCGGCCCACCCATACGCGTACCGCTGCATCCCCAGCAGCTGAGGCGATCGCCTGGAGAAAAAGGCGAGGTGGGAGATTTGGCGCTGGTGGCCTGTTAGTCAAGCAATGGGGTTGATGGAGGAGAGGGGACCAGAGGAAGAGGATGTGGTCGTCTAAGCCGGAGATGAGCAGTTCGGTGGGAGAGGCGCAGAGGAGGGCGGTGTAGCGGTTTTTGTGCGAGTTTTTGGGCTGTATCGGAAGGGTAATGTTAGTCGACTTGTTTTCTTAATGTGGAGACTGAATGTCTTCATCGGAAGAGGGTTTTTTCACTGCATGGTCGTGCGGATCCGTACGTAGAACAAAGCCAATCTTGAGGCGAGAGTGGTAACCCAATGTGCGGGGTCTTTGAGTGTGCGCAGTGGTCTTCTATCCCATACTCTGGCCGGCCTATCGTTGCTGGTGGTATAGAGCACATCAGCCCCACCCCATTTAACGATACTCACGCTGGCGGTGTGTCTTCCCAGAGTGGCCCCGCGCGTCAAGTTAGGAGAGACCATACGCGGACGGTGCCATCTTCGGAGGATGATGCAGCTTGAAGGCGGGGGAAAGTAGCGTTACTTTTGTCCAACTCAGCTGGTGCTTGAATGGGAAATTAAGAAGACGATTCACAGGTGGATGGTTTCCCAAGAGAGCGACGTTGTCCATTTTGTGTGGCCTCTCAACGCGTCCCCGACCAGTTTGCCCGTCCCATATCCTCACCTGAGACGAATGTCAATTAGCGCGTCCAACGACGCGTCAAGAAAGAGACCCACATGTCCATCATATCCCCCACTAGCCAACTGCCGCTCCATAGCTTCCCACTCAACACATAGAACCCACCCCTTTATGGCCTGACAGAACATGTGAGGAAATCTCCATGCTGAGGCCCCACAAATGCATACTGAGCCTGTTGCGAGGAGGCTACCGACGGGTGAAAATGAGGTACATAATATGGTCCAGGTGTGCCCTGTTCTAGTTATAATGATGAATGGTGAGTCAAAAGCGGGGAAAATGCACGCATGAGGAGGTATACCGGAGATTTGGATGGAGGAGGATCTTGAGGCCGGTCGGACGCGAAACACGCTTTGTGGTGAACAGTGCGCCGCGAGGATGCCTTCGGACGTGAAGGCACCTGACGGGTGGTCGAGCACGTCAGCTTCGAAGGATTCAGACGACGATACGTGTAGGTGCTCCTTGGGAGTGTTCTTGCCTTCATCCTACGTGTGGATGGATGAAATGTGTAAATACTAAATATGGGGTAAAAATGATAAATCAGACGCACCTGGATTGAAAATTTATTTGAGAGTGCTTCAGGAGATTCCGTTGGTAAATTTGCTCAATGCTGGCAGCCAATGGCAGCCGCCACTGAGTACTGAACGTTTACTGAACTACCATCTTCCTCTGAGGTAAATTGAACAACGATGTTTGGCGCTTGGTGAGCTGGTAAGTATGTGGGGATCATGATCACGTGAAGATTGATTCGGGTAGTGATTCAAGTAGTGTGGCGGGAATTAGGCTCTCGTAATTTGCCGACCAAAGTTGCAAACCCGAAACTGGCCTGCAAATTAGGGCAAATTAGCGAGGTCTTGAGCGAGCAAACGACAGCAGGTTTCGCCGCAATTTTTTGGTAGATGGGCATAGTTACGGCCTTGTCGAGGACGATTTTGAGCGAGGTTTGTGAATTCTAGGAGTAACTTATGATTTTTCTTCATTTGACCCACAAGCTCACTGCTCAGTCATGTAAATCCAAATTTGAAAGTTTTTCCACTGTGCGCCCACGGTCAAATGCACACCTGAAAAAAATCTTCAAACTCAAACAGCATGCAAGTACACCAGCAAATAAGTTCCCTTCTCGCCATTGTCAATCCCCTCGTGCATTTACTTGTGCACATAGCAAAAAGGCGGTCAAGCAGACCCTAATTTGCGCGAATTAGCTAATTTGCCTAGTCTCTCGTAGACAGACCACGATACAAGTGAATTTTTTATGTGTTGTACGGTTCACGTGTGTATGTGGTCTGTTTCATATCACGCCCTCCGAACCGTGTCAGAAAGTTGTTATGTAATCTTCGGACTTTGAAACAGCGGTCCGAGCTCGTCGCGTCAATACTGTACTAATCCAATCAATTCGTCGGTCACGCGTCACAGGGGGTCCGAAATCGACGAAATTCTAAGGGGTCACAGGTCACAGGGGCCAGCGACGAAACCACCAGGTCAGTCGGAAAATAAGCAAAATTGGGGGTCCTTTTTCATTAGAAATCGATTTTTCCCCCTCTAAGTCTCTCTAGCGAAGTTATCTGAACTATTTAAATTTATCTATGTACAGAGGGCTACTCCAACATTTCGACGAAATTTTCAGGCAGTCACACCTTCCCCGGTGACGCGACGAAACCAAAATTTCGTCGCGTCGGTCACAGGTCACAGGGTGCGACGAATTGATTGGATTAGTACAGTATATCTCCAGTTCCTTCATTGTCGACGCGACATTCAACGGTTTTCGAGCACTACATTTCTTGTAACCGGATTTACTTCATTTTTTGACTGGATTGAATCTTACAGACCTATGCAGATGACCACAGGAGCCCGCTGGCACGACTCTAGACTCTAGAGTCGGCGTAGCGACCATACGCACCATCGTGAAGAAATTTATACCAAAATGGACTTGCCTCCCACTTTCAAGTGTTGTCATCAGAAGGATGGCCGCCCCCCGCGACGTCTACTACAATGGCCATATCTATGTAAGTGATCATGATGAAATCGCATGCATGCGTTTGTTTATGTCAAACACATTAGTACCGCACCTCTCGTTTGAAATTTGTAACGCAGAAGATTACGGTTGTTTCTAGCTTATCGGTACTACGATCACTTGGTTTTTGTTGGGGTCATTATTGGTGCAATGCTGTGCGTTTACTTCACTCTATTTCTTAACACGACTACAGCCTCATCTCTTGCAGATTTTCAGACGACAACCAAGCGTTAAGAACGGTATGGCTCACGATACGATCTCCTGATGAACGCGTGTAGCGACAAGGTTGGTTGCCCATGAGAATAAGGAAGGACGAGCATGAGATATCTCAGCAGGAGAGCAGGAGAGACGGAAGGAGAGAACAGGGCATGACGCTCGGAATAAAGTGGTGAAGATGGTGAGGGTGCGCTGTGTTTATGTGTATAGATGAGGACAATAATATCGGACATCTTGACCTTGTTCCGTCCTTAGAGAAATCGAGATACGGCCTTCGCGTGAAAAGAACCTCGAGGATCGGATTCCCCAGAGATGCGACTCGGATTGTGGAACAGGACTTCCAAGATTTCTCCAACAGAATCGAACTCAAAGTCTCACAGAAGCGCTTCCATTCGCTCAAACTTGTATGTGATGTTTTGTTCGTCGCTGTGGTGAGATTGCCTCAATCGAGGTTGGCTGGTTGATCCGTACATTAAGACATTGAAGGGAGAGCCCAAAGGCGACAGAAACGTGGTAGATGGTGATTCTTGAAGGTCGCTTGGAGATAAAAGCAGGGAGGAGCTCGACGTGGAAGGTAGGGGAAGCTTGAAGTATTGAGGGATTTCCGGCACTGCAATGACGGGCGTTTTCTTGTAGGATCGAACATTTCTTCCATCGAGGTTCAACTTCCAATGAAACACGAATTGAATTTATAGCGATAGGGACTGTTGTAATCCTATAAACGCGTCAAGAGTACTGTTACGGGCAAGGTTGATCGAGACGGCGAGAGAAGTTCACACGGATGGAAATGGGCAAGGCAGAATGCGCGTTGATTAGACAGGGAACTACGAAGTAGACAGGCTGACTATATACTAAGAGGAGACAAGAGATCATACCAGAGGAAGACATGCATAAGAAAATGAATGGAAGAAGGGAAAGGTGACAAGTAAACACGGTGTGCAAGAATGCACAAAGGGGAAGGACTGCGAGAGACAGTCAAGAAGGGGATGAAGGGGGAACTAAGTAATGTAGACAAGACGCGACGCGTTGAATGTGTCGCATAGGAATGAGACAGGAATGGGACGTGTCCGTGACCGTGACATTATCTCCCTTTTTACGAGGAGACATTGGGGGAGTGGCGAGGGTGAGGACGAGAAACGCGACCGGAAGCCAAGGTTGTAGAGGAAGGGGGAACGTAAATGGAACGTAAATTGGAACGTGTCATTGGAGGAGATTTGGGGCGTTTGTGGGCAGAAGAATCGGGAACGGAGATGGGGGACAAGACGGAATCAGAGTCGGATGGAGGATCAAAATTGAAGTCGGAGGGAGAAAGGGCAAGGTGATTGAGAACAAGAGAGTGGGGGCGAGGAGCTCGAGGGTTGCGACGATGGAAACGTTCGAGGAGTTCGTTAGATGACGTGGGAAGTTCCTGAAGAGGAACCCAGGAGTTGTCGTCCGCGGAAAGATCCTTCCAACGGACAAGGTAGTCATAACGATGGCCTGTCTTGCGGCAATCGAGGACGTCGGAAATTTCAGAGATTGTCTCGATGGGGCTCTCGGCCAATTGAAAGGGTTCTGGGTCAGCGTGAGCGTGGAATTCGGAAGGGTCAGAGTATGGTTCCAGGAGGGAAGTGTGGAACACGGGATGGAGACGGGAGAGGTAGGAGGGGAGTTTGAGGAGGTAGGCATCGTTGCCAATGGCGCGAACGATGGGAAAAGGGCCAAGGCGGCGGTGGTCGAGTTTGAGTGAGGGCCGAGTAGTACGGATATTGCGACGAAGTAACCAAACCAATTGGTCAGGTTGGTAGACAGGGGAGGGAATGACTTTTTTGTCGAATGATTTGCGTTGGCATTCCTGAGCCAGTTCAAGTTCTGCTTTTAACTCCGAGTGAATGCGGTCGAGTCGTTGAGCAAGTTCATCGGCGGCGGGGACAGTAGATATATCGGCGAGTTGGGGGGTGAACGTTGGGTGAAAACCAACGTTGGCGAAGAAAGGGGTTTGTTTGGTGGAAGCGTTTTCGGCACTGTTGAATACAAACTCGGAAAGGGGTAGGTAATCGACCCAGTCATCCTGTTGGTAAGAGCAATAAGCACGGATGTAGGTTTCAAGTGTTTGATTGGTTCGTTCCGTGAGTCCATCGGTGCGAGGGTGGTAAGCAGTGGAGTGTCGGAGGTCGATGGAGAGGTGGGAGGTTAGGCATTTCCAGAAATTGGAAACAAAGAGTGATCCTCGATCGGAGATGATGGAGTCGGGCAAGCCGTGATAACGGAAAATCCGGTCGATAAAAAGCCAAGCTAATTCAGAGGCTGTCATGCTTTCATTGCAAGGGATGAAGTGGGCAGCACGCGTGAGGCGGTCGCAAACTACGAGGATGGAATCGTAGCCGTGGGATAAGGGAAGTTTGACGATGAAATCCATGGAAATTGACTTCCATGGGCGGCTGGGGATGTTGAGGGGTTTGAGGAGCCCATAAGGCTTATGTCGAGGTATTTTCGTGCGGTTGCAAGTGTCGCAAGCTGCAACGTATCGGCGGACGAATGTGTAGAGACCGGGCCAGGAGTAGCTGCGAAGGATTTTGTTGAGGGTGATGGTGCGTCCTGGATGACCTCCAAGGACCGCATCGTGGTGTTGATGCAAGATATCGAGGCGAAGGGGGGGAGGAACATAGACGCGGCCGTTATGAAAGACGATGTCGTTGGTGGTGGTGAAGCTGTTGTCTCCATGAAGGAGGGATTCGCGCCATGTGGTGTCTTCTTGATAAGCGAGCCGAAAACGGTCGAGAAGCTCGGAATTGTCGATGGTGAGTGAGGAAGTGGCGGCAATGTGGATGGGGGAAGGAGGAGTGTCAGAGGGGAAAATGTTTTGGGTGTGGTAGGGTGAAAGAATTGCTTGATTTTGTTGTAAGAGGATGTCATCTCCCTTTTTAGGCATAAAATCGGGACGACGTGAGGGACCGTCAGCAGGGTTTTGGGAGCCGGGTGCCCAGGAGAGTGTGAAGTCGAAGTCGGAGAGGAACATCGCCCAACGGGCTTGTCGACGGTTGAGCGTGCGAGACGTCATGAAATACTCAAGGTTCTTGTGGTCGCAAACGACTGAGACCGTTTGTGCAGTACCCATTAACCACGCACGCATGTCGCGGAAAGACTCAATGATCGCGAGTAATTCCTTATCATGGATGTCGTAGTTGATTTCAGCAGGGGAGAACTTGCGTGAGAAGTAAGCGACTGGGCGCAGAGAGCCGGAAGAGTCGGGTTGCTGGAGGATACCAGACAGTGCGAAGTCGGAGGCATCAGTGGAGAGAGTGGCAGGCTGGGAGGGGTCGTAATGGCGGAGGACGGGGTAAGAAAGGAAGGTATTCTTGAGGTTTTCGAAAGCGGAATTGGCCTCAGGGGACCAAACAAAGGGGGTGTTTTTGTGAGTGAGGCGGTTGAGGGGAATAGCGATGGAAGCATAATGATCAATAAAACGGCGGTAAAAATTGCAGAAGCCAAGGAAGACTTGGATATCGTGAGCAGAGCGAGGGGTGGGCCAATCGGAGATGGTGGCGAGCTTCTTGGGGTTCATCTTGATGCCATCAGAACCAACGAGGAAACCGAGGTACTCAACTTGAGATTTATCAAATTCACATTTGGCAGGGTTGGCAAAAAGACGGGCTTCTTTGAGTTTGTCGAGGATGAGTTTGACGTGGGCATCGTGTTCAGATTGGGAGGTGGAGAAAACTAAAATGTCGTCGAGATAAACGACGCAGAAGAGGCCGAGGTATTCACGGAGGGTATCCTGAATGAATGACTGAAAGGTGGCAGGTGCATTGGTGAGACCGAAGGGCATGACGAGGTACTCATAGAGGCCTTGAGGAGTGCGAAAGGCGGTTTTCCATTCGTCGCCTTCGCGTATGCGAATGAGGTTGAAAGCATTCCTAAGGTCGATAACGGAGAAGACTTTGCAATTGCGAGTTTGGTCGAGGAGATCGTCGATGTGGGGGATGGGATAACGATTTTTCTTGGAAATGGAGTTGAGACCTCGGTAGTCGACGCATAAACGGAGTTCGCCGGTTTTGCGTTTTATAAACAGGATGGGGGACGCGGCTGAGGAAGAAGAACGGTGGATAAAACCCTTAGCGAGGTTTTCGTCGAGATAAGCTGCAAGAGCCTTGTTCTCGTCTTGGGAGAGGCGGTAAAGGGGACCGAAAGGGGGTGATTTGCCTTCCTCGATATCAATAGTGCAGTCATAAGGGCGGTGAGGGGGAAGATCGTCTATGGCGGTGGGGGAAAAGACGGTGTCAGCCCAGGCTTTGTACTTGTCTGGCAAGCCAGGGATGTCAGGAGGAGGGGAAGGCTCGGAGATGTCGTCGGCAAGGGAGGAGGAAGTAGCGGCGATGTAAATGGGGGAGCCAACTGGATGGAATTTGAGTATACCGACATCTTGGTTTTTCGCGTACTTAGTGAAACGTGAAAGTGAACAGATGGAGATTTTAGGGGAAGGTGGTGTCAAGGGATTTGCGAGGGGATCACGACCGGAGCCGTTGCCGGACTGGGATAAGAAACTAAGGAAAGAGGATTTGGGAGGAGGAGGAACTGGTGAAGGTGTTGCTGCAGGAGGCAGGGGCGTGGCAAGGCGAGGACGAAGACCGAGGCCTAGTCCTATGGACGAAACTGAATAAGCGCGAGGGGCTTCAAGGGGGGTGGCTCCAACAAGACCGAAGCCTTTGGGCCGAATGCGCACTGGCCATATAGGGTTCAGATTACAACAAGAAAGTGATATGCAGGGGTCGGTCCAGTCAATTGCGGGGTTATGAACGCGAAGCCAATCAAGGCCTAGGATGACGGGGAAGTGGACTGAGACGACGGCGAGGGGGAAGGTTTCGGAGTGTTCGTTGATGTCGATGCTGGCAAAGATGTCATGGGTGACGAGGCCAGAGGCGATTGGGCGGTTGTCGACGGCTAGGATGGGGATGGGAGTTTCTTTACAACGACGAGGGAGTGAATGACGTGAGGCGAAGCGTTCGGATATACATGATTGTGAGGCACCGGAATCAATGAGAGCGGTGGTGTGGATGGGTTTGCGGTTTGGAAAACGGAGAATGATGGGGATGAGGAAGTGTTCGGAGGAGTCTGGAGAGGAGGCGAGGACGTAGTGAGGAATGGGGAGATCGGGACGAGGGTACCACTTTCCATTGGAATGACGGATGTGGGTGGGCGGTGCCGTAGTGGGCAGATGGGTCCTAACATCAGAATTCGGCAGCCCAAGGACCTTGTTCAAGGGGCTACCGCTCAAGCTTTTCCCGAAGGGGAAGGCTTCTTCTTGTTGGGGCAATCTGCAGCGAAATGCTTACCCTTGCCACAGTATAGGCATAGGCCTTCTTTCTTGCGGCGAGCTTTTTCTTCGGCGGATAAGGGACCACGACGGATGGAATCAATTTCCATGGGAACGACATCGTTGTTGCCGGATGTGGTAGTAGAAGTGGATGGTGTAGGGGGATGGGAATGGGAATGTTTTTTCGAAGAGAAGGAAGAGGTGGTAGAGGGACGATGGGTGGTGTCGAGAGAGAGAGAATGTAGTTCGTTGTCAATGTCAATGCAGGCTTTAGAATACTCGTCGAAGTCCAGTGAAAAGTAACGCCCCTTTCTATTGCAAAGGGTGATTTTGACAGAGTCCTTTAGGCGATCGTAATACTCCTGGATTTTCGTTTGTTCAGTCCAGTCGAGCTCGGCGAGGATTTCGATAAACTGGTTGGTGAACGCGGCACAAGATCCAATCTGTTTGAGCTTGCGGACTTTACGGAGGGCGGAGGCGTATTGATCGGAATCGCAGAAGCGATCACGGAAGTTGTTGATGAATGCGTCATAGTCTTCGAGAAGGTAGGACTTGGATTGATCGAGTTCAATGGTGCGGTACCAAGAGGAGGGAGCACCGTCAGCTAGATAGAAACTGAAATAAATGATCTTGTCGCGATCTGTGGAAAGGGAGCGGCGTTGGAGATGGATGGCGTTATTGATTTCACGGAGGAAGGACTCTAATTGGTCAGCTCGGCCATTGAAGACGCGAGGCTCACGATGTTTGGTGGTTCCGCCGGTAGAGGGTCTTTCGGAACGTTCGACTAGGTGGTCCATAAGTTGAGTAAGTCCGTCTCGTTGTGCGCTGGTATCCATAGAGATGTTGTCATAGGCTTGTCCAAGAGCCGTGACAGCGCGCCAGAGCGTGATGCGTTCAAGATCGAGTAACTGCTCCTGGGTTGGCTGAGCAAGTTGGGGATCGGTGGGGAGTGGAATCTGCTGGATGTCGTCCATGTTTGACATTGGAGAAAAGAAGGGAAGAGGATGACGAGCAGGGAGCAAACACGAGAACAATCGGCGTTGGTCTAATCAAACTGTTATGGGCAAGGTTGATCGAGACGGCGAGAGAAGTTCACACGGATGGAAATGGGCAAGGCAGAATGCGCGTTGATTAGACAGGGAACTACGAGGTAGACAGGCTGACTATATACTGAGAGGAGACAAGAGAACATACAAGAGGAAGACATGCATAAGAAGATGAATGAAAGAAAGGAAGGTGACAAGTAAACACGGTGTGCAAGAAAGCACAAAGAGGGAAGGACTGCAAGAGACAGTCAAGAAGGGGATGAAGGGGGAACTAAGTAATGTAGACAAGACGCGACGCGTTGAATGTGTCGCATAGGAATGGGACGTGTCCGTGACCGTGACAATTGTGTTCAGGCTCCAGCAATTGCTGATCGTGTTTACCATACAGACCAAGCCCGCAAGCTTCCCTCAGTCCAGAGGAGCCAAACCACAGCAAGTTCAACTTACCCTGGATCCGCCCCGTGTAACTTATAGCAAGTCGGGGAAATCTGAAATGCAGCGCCCTATATTTATTGAAGCTCCTGTTTACGATTGCGCCAACACCGATAATGCTACATCCCGCTGTTCGTCCACCTCCCGCGCCATAAAGCTTCTAATGCTTAGATGGCTTGTAGGGGGTACCTTTTTACTGCCGTTCACTCCATGCATCTCACTGTACTCTGCAAAAAAAAAATGTTGTCCTTTCATCTTGCCCAGTGACATCCGGACGGCGGGCTACGAATCCGAAGCTCAGGCCTTAGGAACCAAATCAAACTATGTCATCAGTACCAAATTATAGATCTAGTTCCTTTACACCACATCCGGCTACTACGATAGTCCTACTTTTAGACCAATCTCTCATACGACTTACTGCGAAGTCGAGAACAGAGTTCTTGTGAGCAGCTTATTGACTTCGTGCTCAGGACAGTATCTGACTGAACTCATCCTTGATCATGTCATACTTGACTGCACTCAAAGATATACTTTTGATTTACTCTCTAGGCACTCACTCAAATCTGGATAGCTGGCATCAGCTTAAAACCCGAAGCTTAGCATGGCCTCAGCCCCAAGCTCAACGTTTTGTCGCTCAGGTAAGGATTCAAAGCTGTATAGATGCTCATCCAACCCTCTCCTTCCAGCCAATCCCTTGCGCGCAAAGGACTCAAAAGCCTTCAAGAATCAGATTTAAAATCGAGAATCCGACGCCGAGTTGATGTGAGTACTAATTGTATTCATTCGGCGCTCTACTATACTTACACCGCCAAGTCTCTCCGAGTCCATGCCTTAGGCCCTTAGCATGCAGTGACTGAACCAAAAAGACACAAGAGACAAATCAGCTGGACCAGGAGTCGAACCCGAAACTTTGGTCTAAATACGCCTGCCCCGGGTATAATCTTGATCCCTTTTGACCATGCCCACCTGTGTTGGTACTCACACGGCTTGGTACTTTTAGCTCGGCCTCCTGTTCAAGGCTATATTTTTTCTGGCCTTAGGCTGCACACGGCTGACAAAAAAACTATGTTCACAACATGTTCAATTTATATGAATTGCGGGAGTCGAACCCGATTCGCGGACGTCAATTTCAATTTATTTTTATCCATAACGAGTCTGGTCCGTTTACGCCATATCCATCTATTGACCAATATCAGTACTAATCCCATTTTCTATTCCACTTTTTGCGCAAGGAGCGTTTTCGCTATGCGCCGTACCTTTAAATTGTGGTTGGTTTCGGTGATACATTCAGGATGTACTTAAATGACTTTAGCCACGGAAACATTGGCAACATTCGCCTAGATGCCAGGAAACGAACCCGGCACTCTACACCGGCCTAGCGCGTTGTTGACGCTAATATTCTCAGTTTTCCAATCCACTCGTCTCCGAGAAGAAGAAAAATGTTTACAAGGTGCATTTGAAAATGTGGATCACCAACACCCCCAGTGACCGAATTCACGCCGCCCATCGTTCGGTTTGCGTGTAAATCTCGAAACTAACAGCGCCATTCAATCAAATAACCTTCTCGATTGTCGACCTCGAGCGCTAAATCGTGCCTTCCTCAAGTACGTCATATTCGCGTATTGAAGGTCATGATAATTCAACCCTTCTAAGAATTATGGAGCTCTACGATGTCGTGAGTATTATAGTCTAGTGCGTTAATTCCACTGGTATATGATAGTTACTGTACACCTCCCTTTACCAAGACCTTCCACGGGCCGGACGACACCTCTCAATTTCTTCACCCTTGTCTGCCATCAGCCGCTCATACGCACTTTTCCACCACCCAAACTCTTCCGCGAAGAACCCTCCATCTTGCGTAGCAGCGTCTCTTATCGCCTCCTCTTCCTCCACCCTCGTCGAAACCCGCCTCGAAAGACCTTTGAACGGCTTGAACAGCGTATAATGCACAATCTTCCCCTCCTCCTTCAAATTCTCCCAAAGCTCCAGACTCCGCTTCTTGATGGCCAAGTTCATGTTGTAAGCGTAAGGTAACCGAACACCCTTGGCGCCGTAATAATGGTTCAAGAACGACTGCTCCGCTTCTACCGGGGGGAACCTTGCCGTCTCAATCTTCTCCCTCATATCCTTGAAAACGGCACTAGACGGCTGAATCGCCAACACCCCCGCGTTAAACGATATCGTGAACCCCCTCCGATCGCCCGGCTCGTAAACGTCGGGGACCGCGGCGAAGTTGAATGGCATCTCAAACAATTCATCAAAATTCTTTAGGACGAGGGTATCGGCGTCGAGATACACTAGCTTCTCTATCCCCAATTGATCAAACGTCCATATGTTTAGCTTGGTGTATTGGTCCTTAAACCGCTGATGAACGCCCTTCCCGTGATGAGGCGGTGGTATGAACTGGATGGATTGTGGTTCCCAGCCGGCGGCCGTGACGATGCAGAGTGCGTGGGGAGAGACTCGGCGCGCGAGATAAGGGAGGATGAGACGGGATGTCATATTGGCTGACCGGACAGAATGCCCGAGAACAGCGACCCCGATGGCGTAGCTGTCCGTGTAAAGGGTCGACACCACCGCAGTATGATTTCTTGATGACGGCGACGCTACTGGCCGGGCTCCCAGGATGGGGTTGGCGTTTCTGCGAACATTCTCCGCGATGAAAGAGTGTTAGTAGTGAGGTAAAGTGGGTGAGCTCACATATTTTGGTAGTTATCCAGAGGAGAGTATGGGGCTTTTGCAGAGGTTATCCACCAAAGAAGATACACGACTCCAACGACTGCTAAGCCTGCGGGCAGTGCAAGTAGGCGCTTTCGGGTGGAATTTTTCGTAGGATTCTGGGTGATGCTTTGCGGGAGGGGTTCGTATGTCCATGTCCATCTCTCTAAGATGGTCCTGATGATGAAGGACATGGAGGAAGAGGAAATTGAGTAAGAGGGGAAAGGGACGTTGAGTGGACAGGCGTCATTTAATGTCTCATCATCGACAACCAAACGCACGTGCTGTTTCTTCTTATCCCACAATAGTCATTCCGGCGGCGTATCCCCGCCGACGATTCGTTCCGGTCAGTTAATTCAAACCACGAAATCCATGGTTATGGGAGAGTTTCAAAACATTCGTTCATCAACAGACTCGTCACGAGATAACTATGGTAAAGTCGAGTCAAGTGCGTCACAATGATATCAGAACCAAAAGAATAGTGGAGTACTTACCAGGTGTATTGGAGCGCACACTTTGCACAATGATAAGATGTGATGAATTGATCCCGAGTTTTTTATTGCCTCCGGACTTCCTCTAACCACCTTCTCCACACAATCCCACGTGTTTTGGCCTTTTATCTCTTCCCAATACCTATGCTCTGGACTACGAAGGCAGTGAGAGTGAGCACTGACAATAATCATGCGCTTTGCGCGCTCTCCAAATCCATCTTCACCAAAGTTGTTTTTAGTTCATTGCGCTACTAGTAACGAAGGCAGTGATCGCTCACCAACAATCATGCGCTAAGCGTTTTGCGCAGTTGGCGGGTCTTCTACGACTTATTTTTGGGCTTTTCCTATCCGTTGCATCCGACCACCACGCGGGCCTCTCAGAATCCGGCCAAAGATCCCCACTCGAAGCGGATCGGAGACGACTAAGTACTGCGTAGTACTTACCTTGAAAAACAGGGAAAGATATTTTCAAACTATCCCTTCATCGCGAGAGATAAATTAACGTTGACGCCATCGGTGTGACGAGGCTGGCGGTGCCGCGTGTGCTACGTAACTCGCGCTAACTGACGCTAATAAAGACATCCTCAAGGAACAGTCCAAGGGACGAGAAACAGGTTACTTACAGGTCAGGTCAGGTCAGGTCTGTCACCTCCGCCCTTGAAAGAGGCCAGAATGGGCCGAGGACAGGTCTCGAGACTGGAGAGAATGTCCTGGCATTCCTTCGAAATTCTTCGCAGTCATCGGCGAGCACACTGAGTCCGAATTTCAATCACGTAACGTGTTTTACCACTCTTATTTGTTTTATATATCTCATAGGTTAGTGTTAACCGCAGCAATCGTCGGATTCAGAGGGGAAATGACTTGAGAACGATCTCATGACGGATGGCAAGAACATTTTCAGGACCTATTTACGTTCTCTTCTTACTGGCTCCTATGTTCGAATAATGTAAATAGGCAGTGGCTTCGACATAGATTAGAGATGAATGACCTGTGACAATTACTCTATGAGTCAACTTCTTCGTAGGTGATATACCCGTTCCCTCGCCATCTTCTCTTTCAAAATAGCGATAGGCGTCGTGTGTTCGACTCCACGTCCAGCTGCCCGTATTGTCTCCCTGTCTTCTTCCCTCATGTTCATGCGTAGGAGCTGCTGATTTTTGGCATCCGCGCGAATAAAGGTATTGATAAATCTATAATTCATAGTAAGCGAGTCGGTAGCAACAACATGAGTACATGGAGAAATACAGACTCGAGACAGGCTGTAGCGCTCATAGGGATAGATGACTGCCCAGTCAAGGCTGAATGGTATTCAAAAGCCTTATTTTCTTTCACCATTTTTAGAACGACTGGTGGAATTGGAACGACAGATGAATAAGCCCCAGGAGCGCCGTTGGAGATGAATTCGACGATGACGACAGGAGTAGATGCTTGCCCTTCACCACAGAGTTCCTTGCGGGTTTCACGCCAGAGGTTCAGACGATGGGGGTGAGGTGTGATGTTTCGAGGTGAGGGAGTGACCGCGTTGATCTGGAGCATCCCTTCAATTTCTTCCGGCTCAGTGTTTCCGTACATGCCAGCATACAGTCTAAGAAAGACAGTAATATCTGAAGGTTCAAGCGCTACGTCGACGCGGGCCATGAAAGGCGTGTCGGGTGCGGGTTTTTTGACAAGGTCAAAATCCAGGGCCAAGCAAGCTTGCAGGTAACCCTTTAGGACCGGATTAGCAAGGAAAGCATTGATCAACCTTGTGATTCCGCGTTCCACGTCATGGCAGTACGCTTTATGATGTTTCCTGTCCTATGAGTTAGAGAATTAAGATACTTTCGGTGAGATTCCTTTCTCATACCAATGTTCTTTCTGACACTATTGTTCCGAAGTTGAAATTAGTTCGACTTGTGAAGAGGGTGCAGAATCCAAGATCTCACCTCTTTCGAGCAGTACCAAACAGATTTGCACTATTGCTTAGATTTGTATCAAGAAACTACAAATTAATGGTGATGACATCTTACCTTTGAACACTTCCGCAGCTCTATCACATCCTCTTTACCCTTGTGGCAGTTCGAGCAACATATTTGAACGCCACTGTCTCGTGCGGTTCGTATCTGTGCTGTCGTCGGCGCTCCAGAGCGGAACCATGCATCTCGCCCCGGATGTATCCTCCGAATAAACTCTGGTCCTGCAGGTGGTTCTGTGGTGCATTCGCTAGCCATTTCGCAAGGTGAAAGTCGAATCGAAGATCGCTTATCGCAGCCAGCTGCAATCATACCATATTGAGAGTTGTTTGTTCATGTCAAGGTTCTTAAGGCGCCCTACTTATCACCACCTCGGCACCCCCTGTTCTTCCGGGAGACATACCAGAAACGTCCAATAAATGACGCACGTCAAAAATATGCGGAAGCTCGTATGTCTTCCTACATCAAATCAAACGCAAATTAATTTCCCTGGTCCTACAACAAAAAATATGCAACGTCATCAGGAATACAATCGCGTTGACCCAATGTTTGGAGTGGTAAATAAATCGACGCGAAATAAAAGGTTTTGCGGGAGCAAAACGAGCAGAAAAAAAGGGGGAAGGCATACTTTCCTTTGCTATTGTAATTGCGAGCGAAGCGAGCATAAAGCGCAAAAGTCGCAAACAAACAAGAACAAATTCCGTATTCGCAAAGGTCGAAAGTTTTTGCGGGGAAAAACAGTGTTTCACGAATATCTCATGCATTTCAATATCTCTTCAAATGAAACTTGGCAAGTATGTTCAAGTAGTGTACTTTTACACAGGTATCACAAAAAAATGCACCCTGTCTTATGCATTGCATAGTAACTTTGCCATCATGCATCAAATTTAGGTGGCATTTACAAAAATCTTCTGATAAGAAGATAAGAAGAGCTAGACTAGTTTGAACATTTGTATCAGAGTCATTTTGGATGTCTTATTACATGGTTTTTCACATATGTTAGTCACATTGTGCCTTACCTAATGGAGTAGCCGGATGTGACAAAACACCATACTACATGGGCCCAGCCGGACGGCCCGAATCTTATGATGTGCCTTTAGTGATGGTGCGGCCGTGATCCTTACAGGGACTCACTAAGTAGCATGCGCTGGCTGTCCACCTGTGAACCCCACCTATTTGGTCCTATTAGACAGGAACAAGATATGCTTGTTCCTGTCTAGTTCGATCAAAGATGGCTTTTGTAACGCTCTGGGCAATAACTACCAGTAGTGCGTAGGGACTTTATAATAAATTCTTACCTGTGCTCACCGGCAACCATGAATACCAGTCACCGGTGTTTGGCACTTGGCGGCATTGCGCTCCTGCCCATAAAGGGTTCGATGCCATCACGAAGAACCCTTACTCACCGTTGTTGATGGCAACGCGTCGAGCTCGTCGTGCGCAACGCCGACAACGTGTATCCCCCTCAATAACAATCCATTCCCTTCGCTTTTTTTGTGTAACACAGTGGTATGTAGATCAATGGCATTTTATTACAGCAAGGTTATGAAAGACATATGTATGGAGGTGATGATCATGTTGTTGTAGGGTATGGGGGAGGGTACACGGCATACGGCATTCAATGAGTAAGCTAGGCACTATCAACATCAGCATCGCTCTCAACAAACTCGTTGCTGGTGGGACGGGTGGGGGGCAGCTGGGATTTCTTGGATTTCTTGGGCGCTTTCTTGGTTGTCGTAGCGCGCGTCTCGGGCACGGCTTTCCCCCTCTTCTGCTTCTTCGCTGGTGGGGCCCCATCGTCCTCGCCTTCCCCTGTCCCTGGTGCTTTCTTCCGCGGCCTCTTGACACCTTTGTCCGACCTCGGCTGCCTTGCCTTCCCCACCTTTTCACCCGCTGCGATTCTCTTGCTAACGTCATCTTTGTGGTGATTTATGTCGCTTCTGGTCATCCTTACCCAACAGCACCTACCGCATTGAAGTGCCTCCAGTAATGTGCGAACATCGTCGATGGTGTGGATGTCGAACGGGCTCTTGAATTCACGGTAGGTCCAGCCCATGAGCTTGGTCTGGTATCGTTCAACGACCTTCGTATCGTAGTTGGCGTAGTTCATGAGGGCCTGTCGTGATTGCGAAACCGTTTCTGTTCAGTAGCTTTAGTTCAAAGAAACGACGAGACACGGTATAAAAGACTTACTGAGAGTGCCGTTGATGATCGCGCTGCATTCCTTCTGCATCGTCGAGAGTGTGTCGACGGTGCGGCTACCTTTCGCCTTTGCACATGCCCACTGCTCCAACAGCCGGGCAATGTCCCACATCCCGTAGCTCATTGCCTCTTGAGAGAAGTTTGCGGCATTGGGAGAGCAAATCCAGTTCGGCTCAAACGTGTCTTCAAGGTTGGAGCGGCTAAGAAAGCGACGAC